GCGGTCGGGAATTGCCCCGGGCGCCCGCTCCGCCTTCGCCAGCGGCGCTCTCCCGCGCTGGCCGAGCGGCGTGGCGCCTGCGCGGTGCTGCGCAGGATCCCGCCAACGAGGAAATCCGAGTGCGTGGATTCCAGCCGAGGATGAGGAGGCGGAGGATGAGCGGTCGCGCTCGGCGGGGTCTCTCAAGTTTAGAGGGGTCGCGTGTTGAGACACGTTCTTTGCTTGTGCCCGTTACGTTTCTCTGTGTGTCCTTGATTGCACGCTCTCGCTATTGGGGAGCAGACCCGGGCTGCAAAAATCCGGACGGGCGTGGATTTTAGATGGCAGGAAAACCGATGTCCAGTTCCCATCATCCCCAGGCCGGAGGGAGGGTCGTGACAGCTCCCCCACCCAGCATGAGGATGGGTGTTGGGGCCCATCACATCTCGGAAGTCAAACTTAATGCAATCGGTATGAGTGAAGGAGTGTGAGGACAGTGCTATGATAAACACGTGCCTGACAGCAGCCTTAGAAGATGAATTCCATACTATAGTATATTTACTTTTTATATAGTTTTACTTTTTTTATAGTAGACTATACTTTCAAGTTACATTTCCTATTTCCACCACTCATGAAGTCTGACTTCAAACATTTGCCAACCTGGATCTAAGTTGGGGCCCTATGCCTTGGCAGTGCCCCCACCCCCAGGTCTGATACCTTATTGAGCCCCCAAGACAAAAGCCACATGGATTTTCATGGCTGCCCCTCACAAGATGAGTGCTGCAACAGATTAGGACGAAAACATCTTGCTTCTGGTTGATGCCATCTATTATTTCCCATAATGTTGTGAGCGCCTTCAACAGGCATTGTTTAGAAAGGGTGACATACGATCTAGCTAACTGTGAGGAGTCTTGCCTGCAAGGGGAAGACTGGTGGTTGCAGCTGTGTCCCCAAGACACTCAAGTAGGGTGAAGGTCTTGGGCAGAGCCTTGGGACGTGGCACAGATTGTAGAGAGGTTGGGAAACTAATAGGAGAGAGGTAAACATAAGTAACAGATAGGTCAATCTCTTGGTTCCTTATTTCAGAAACGGCAGCTTAGTCCAGGTGGCCAGAAACCTGGGAAGAAGCATTTCAAATCATTACAGCATATAACAATTATTTTCATGTGAGTTGCAGTGGTTCTTTTTCAATGTTATATTCAACTTCAGATGAAAAAGCTAAGTCATTTATGCTTGTAATATGATTCTCAATATTCTCAGCAATTTAAATAGAACGTTAATATTTTTAAAATACATTATACAAACATCAATGTATGGAAACAATACAATGTATTGAGATTTATAACAACCTAATAAAATGGATGAGTATTCTTAAAAAAAAAACATAAGTCAGAGATAGAAGGTGAGTCCGTTGATTCCTTATCTTATAAATGACGACTCAAGCCAGGTGGCCAGAAACCTGGGAAGAAGCATTTCAAATCATTCAGGGTGATCGTGGGGGCATATTAAAAAGGAAAGATGGTCAAAACTCTGCAAAGGAGCAAGATTTTGAATGGTTGCAAACCACCATGTTGACTCTTTTTTATACAACCCTCCCCCCCATGAAGGAGACTCCACCTTCATGAATTCCCTATAAATACATTATTTATGTACATTGTTTTATTGTATTTTAATCTGTACTTATTATGGTTTATTGTAAACCACTCAGTCGCTCTGAGTGAGATGGGTGGTGACTTAATTTGAAATATAAATTAATATAAATAATTAATAATAAATAAATGAGAGTTGGAAATTCCTCTTGTGGTTTCCAAGATTCTGTATTTACCCAAAGACTGGACATTTTGTGTTTCCATTTACCTTAAGGCTTGAATTTAGAATAAGAGAAAAATTAAAAGCATAATGCATTGAAACTCACTCCCATGATTGCTTTATTAAAGAAAGAGATACAGTAGCATACTAAAGGAAAATAGCAGAATCAGAATTCATCTTTCAATGTTTATTCTAACACTCCATATATATAATTAAAAAGAAGAAAGGAAATGCCTGGAAATTTGTTTTAGCTCTAGAAGTTAGAGAGTTGGAGGCCACACATCTTAAAGTTGCCAAGGTTGAGAAACACTGTTCCAAAGTCATGTTGACAGTCCTTTCAATATCAGACCAAAATATGATAACCGAGACCACATGAATTAATGTTCCAAATCTCAAATCGCATTCCTAATAGACAATTGTAATCAGTCGTAACTGAACCTTTCCTGGGGTGTCCAATACATTTTCTGTGGTATTAACTTGATTTTAAATTAACATGAAATTCGTTTCTCTGAAATTCATTGTTTGTAAGCCTCCCAGAGTCTACTGGAATGGGCAGCCATAATGCACTTAATCAAACAAACAAATAAATAAATGTCTCAATTTTCAAAACAACCTGCCATTGTTTTGCAAAACCAGGCCATTCAAGATCATTAGTCCAAAGGCTGCAGATGTAAGATTAAGCAAGAGCGTAATCATTCTGATTCCTTTTAAATACAGGAATAAGCTTAATTCTTCTTGATTTCCTTCGGTCTCTTCCAAATACGATTAAATTTGGAACCAAACGGCAACTTGATGGGAATCACAAAATGTAATGGGGCTAGATTCCTTGCAACTGGAGAACTGCTGCAGATGCTC